CGTCGTTTGATGATGACATTGATGCGGCCACCGATCTCCTCCCCGAGCAACCGCCCTCACCCTCCAGCTCTGACCCTTCTCCCGACAGCAGCCCTGCCTCCAGCTCATCCTCCTCGTCCTCCACTACTACGACGGACAGCTCACCTCCGCCGTGTACACCTGCTGCGCCCACCCTCCACTCCACCCGTCGCAATTTTGGTCACCCTCATGTTCGTTTTGGTGATTTTGTTGCTCATAATGTGGCTTCTATTGTTGTGCCTACTCGTTATTCGCAGGACCGTGGTCATCCTGAGTGGGACGCTGCTATGGATACTGAATTCGATGCTCTTGAGTCCAACCGCACCTGGTCTCTTGTTTCCCGCCCTCCACCTGAGATCCCGGTGGTTGGTTGCCGTTGGGTTTATGCTCTCAAAGTCCATCCTGATGGTACTCTGGATCGGTTTCGGGCTCGTCTAGTTGCTAAAGGGTTTACTCAAGAGTACGACAACGACTATGATGAGACTTTTGCTCCCGTCGCCAAGATGCAGACTGTTCGTACCTTACTAGCTGTTGCTGCGGTTTGTGATTGGCCTCTCCTCCAACTTGACATCAAGAATGCGTTTCTCCATGGCGACTTAAAGGAAGTAGTTTACATGTAGCGTCCTCCTGGATATAAAAAGGGCACTCCTGATCAGGTCTGTCTATTACATCGCTCTCTCTATGGCCTGAAGCAGGCTCCTCGTGCTTGGTTCGAGAAATTTTAGCAGACTATTCTGGGCCTTGGTTTTCAGCAGAGTAGAAATGATCCTTTGTTGTTCATGCAAACTACTTCTCGGGGGTTGGTGGTACTTCTCCTGTACGTGGATGATATGGTGGTCACAGGTGACGATACGGTTGGTATTGCCGCCCTAAAGCAGAACCTCGGTACTCATTTCCGCCTTAAGGATCTTGGCACTCTCTCCTATTTTTTGGGCCTCGAGGTTAATCGCTCGTCTCACGGGATTCTTCTTCACCAGCACAAGTATAATAATGATATACTTGATGAACATCGGTTTAGTGACTGTATTCCAGTACGCACTCCCATTGAACTTAATCTTAAACTTGGTCGTGAGTCTGGTGAGCCTCTGGCAGATGGTCGGGCTTATCGCAGCATTGTTGGTAGTCTCATTTACTTGGTTGCTACACGTCCTGATATTACGTATGATGTCCAAGTTGTTAGCCAGCTTATGGCGGCGCCCCGTACCGATCATCTTGTGGATGTACATCGCATTCTTCGCTATCTGCAGGGCACTCGAGATGTTGGGATCTTTCTTCCTTCGACTGGTGATTTATGCATTCGTGCTTACTCTGATTCTGATTTTGCTGGGTGTATTGACACTAGTCAGTCGACCACTGCTGGTGTGTTCAGTTTGGTGATGCATTTATTTCTTGGCGCTACAAAAAACAGGATAAGGTTTCTAAATCCTCGACTGAGGCGGAGTACCGAGCTATGTCAGATGCTGGCGGAGTACCGAGCTATGTCAGATGTTGGTTCTGAAATGGAGTGGTTACACCGGTTTCTTGGTGACCTCGGCGTGACTATTCCTTCTCCGATGACACTTCATGTGGACAACACCAGTGCGATTTAGATTGCTATCAATCCTGTTCTTCACAATCGCACCAAACATATTGAGGTACATGTGCATTATATTCGAGATCTGGTACATGCTGGTGTCATTGAGCTTCGCTATATACGAACTGATGATCAAGTGGCAGATTTGTTGACGAGTCCTTCACCAACAGTCGTCACTAGTTCCTGTCTAGCAAATTGATGCTTCGAGATCAGCATCAATTTGGGGGAGGTTGTTAGCCGAACCATTACCCATTTGTAATTGGCCCATTGGCCCATCACTCTTGTACAGCCCATGCCCATGCACACATGTCCCTTTCTTTCTCCTCTGTTAGCTCGGCTGAACCCTTCATTAGGGTTTTCTCCATATATATATTTGTATACCATTCCCAGACGTTTAAACAATAAGAACAGCAGTTCGGAGAGTCTTGAGCCCTCCCGTAGACTAGTCTTGATCACTCAGGAATACCACGTAAATCCGTGTCTCTCCGTTACTCTCTAAATTCCGTTCACAATGTCTAACAGATATACTTGACAATATTTATGGCATTGATTCGTTGATGGGCTAGCTAGTGATAGAAGTTCCACTACTGAGCTAACTATTCAAGTTGGGTTAGCGAAAAAACCAATAACTACAATTTGGTTGCGGTTAACACAACACTAAGCTGCTAACCATACTGCCACCTTTACGTTAACCACAAAGTTCCTTTCTTTCATCGACAGGAACTAGCAAAATGACTCCAAAATAGATGGGCAGTTGGAAATGTCCTCATGATTCTATTGGGCCGGCAGTGACTGTTTCCAACCACATTTCCAAGTCAATTATATACGACATTAGCTAATTCAAATACAGTAATAACACGTACAATTGTCTCTCGTTTCCCATCTCTCGATTCTCTTATGCAAACATCCAAAGTCGTCGTCCTTGCATTCTAATAATTCATCCCAAAAAGGACGCCATCTAGCTAGCTAGCTAGACTTCATTGATTCAGCCGGGTCCAAAAATCACAATTCATTAACAATTAATTAGGAGGTCATTATCGAAGAAATTGTCTCACCCGGCTAAAAAAAATTCCATCACGTCGTCGCATTAGGCTCTGGAAAACAAGAGTGTAGGTGTTTGAATTATTTAGAATTGAAAATTTTGTAGTCTTTCTTTAGGATAGTAGCTAATTTAAAGGGAGCCGGGGATTAGAATTTTGACGACCATCATGGACATCGTTGTTAAGACGTGGATTAAGACACAAATTTGGAAAATAATTGCAACGAGACAACAGTTGTTGGGACTTTTGAGATATATTGTTCTCAGACCTTGCAACTTGGTACCAATCAAGCAAAAGTGCCGGCAAATTACATTACGACAAGACACTGTCCAAGTAAATGAGTCAACAATTTGGTTGTGCTCAAATTCGTATTATCATATACATGTGTATATACGTATCATATATGGTAGGTATATGCCACTCAGTCAATGTCGGGATTTTATCATATAAAAAAAACTGGAGTAAAATTGTAATTGTAAAATTGTACGTTTTTATGGTCCATATAAAAGCACTCTTAATAATATTAATAAGGCAAATCATGAATAACACGAAGACACATAGCAACTAAAGTGATAATCTCTCAATATGAATGTTCCAATTTTTCAAGGTTAATGTTAGAAAGTGATGAATCGGTAATGATTAATGAGTTATTGCGAATTGATGATGATCGATGGTGGCTAGTGAAAGAAAACGAGATGATGTTGATGCATGAAAAAGGGGGAAATGTCATATTTTTCAAATTTAGGGGAAATTAAGTAAATCTGTGGACCTTAATTAAAATCTTATACACGATTTAAATTTTTAAAATCTTACGATTGATCAAAGGTTGGTGGGCTATTTAAATATATATGTAAGGGAACTGTTGATAAATTATTTAGCCAGACCTAATACAATAATATGTGTGGTATATACTGTTCATAAACTCGATCTTGTTCATTCAAAGATAACACAGAGTCCCCGAAGTTGGTCGAACAATTGGCTAAAGACACTCCATGCTGAACAGCTTGAACACTCATCCGGAGGAGTATCAATTCGGGGTAGAGAAAAAGAGCACTTCTACTATGCTATATAGTATTGGTGCTTTAACGTATAACTTAAAGTTGTACCATAACATTAAATGTATAAGTTTAGATTGTACCATAAAGCAATTTGTACCATTATGTTATGGTACAACTTTACAACTTGAAGTTGTACCATCACATAAAGGTACAAGTTCAAATTGTACCATAACAGAATTTGTACAAAAAGTATAGGTACAATCTGAAGTTGTACCATAACGTAAATGTACAATGTTAAGTTGTACCATAAAGGCAAAATCTTATAGCATCAATACTATATAGCATTGTAAAATTTCTCAGAGAAAAATTGGATAACTTTGCTAGGAAGCGGTATATATTCATAATAGAAACATTTCTAACAAATCGAATTATTAGAATCAACTGGGTCTTGAAATGGTATTAAAGTTTTTGGTGACTGAGAAGTACTCTGTTCGAATGCCAATTACGGATTACTCATTTGTTAAGCACATGGCAATTGGACCTGTGCAAACTTCAATTCCATATACAATAATTTATCAGTCGATGAGCTATAAAAACGCATAGTGAATCATTTAAATAATAAAAAATATATTTTTATGTCAAACTCATAAAACGAAGAGATTTAAATAAAGTTTGAAAACCATCAAATGAAAGAGGAAATTATTAATATTAACAAGCAATAGATTAACAACGAAAAGCAACAGATTAAGTAAAATTTTGAGTCAGCCACTTATTGTAGCCCTCTCCCGAACTGATATTATTTGGGGACAGAAACTAAGGTAACTTAAGGTTCACTTCCCATGCACGTAAAGGCGCAAAATTACTTGTAGTGGTATAAGCTTTGTCCCAATTGTAGGAGGCAAAAAGCAAAGCCCCTTCCCACCTCTATTTTGCTTGCACGGCCAATTACTGAAAGACTGAAACCTAATCGACCCATCGATTGAAATTCAATAACGTAAAAGTCAAAAATAAAAAATAAAAATAAACCCCACGAAAACCCTCGTCCTTTGTCCCCCTCCTCCAACTGCCCATATCCCAGAGGATGTTTCTGTCATTTTAAGCAAAAACAATTGGTACCCTATTAATTGATTGAGTTCAATTTAGTCCAAATATTTTATAAAGAAAATTGAGATAAATTAAGCAGTTACATTCCACATCGAAACCAACCACCTCTTGATCTCTTCGTGCCTGGGCCTGGCCACCTCAGCCACTTGGTAATTTAATATGGGGCTTGCTATTTGCCGCCAACCAAATTGCTATTTGCCGCCAACCAAAAAAAAAAAAAAAAAAAAAAATAAGTATATATATACATAGTAGGGTAAGGAGTTTCACAATCTACAACATATCCAACTTCCAGAGAACATATTGAATCAGAAAAATTCAACGCTCGCCGGAAAAGTCGCCGGAAAATCATCGGGAAAGCCTATCCTCGACATATACTGCGTACACGCATCAATGAATCATCACTAAGCAGGTGCGTAATTTTTTTGTAGTTTCGAACAATTTTTCCGACGATTTGAAACGAACAGACGGTGCGCCGAAAATTTCCGGCGGCCGGAACCTGGCCGGGCCGAAAATTTCCGGCGGCCGGAACCTGGCCGGGCCGAAAATTTCCGGTGGCCGGAACCTGGCCGAGCCGAAAAATTCCGGCGGCCGGAACCAGGCTGAGCCGCAAGATATTTTCGGCCCGGCCAGGTTCCAGCCACCGGAAATTTTCGGCCCGGCCAGGTTCTGGCCGCCGGAAATTTTCGGCCCGGCCAGGTTCCGGCCACCGGAAATTTTCGGCTCACAGTCTGTTTTTGCAATTTTTCGGAAAAATTCGATTTTAGGAGTTGAATTTAGAGTTTAGGAGTTGAATTTAGAGTTTAGGAGTTGAATTTAGAGTTTAGGAGTTGAATTTAGCGGTTAAGAATTGAAATTAGCGTTTAGGTTCACAGGAATATTGATATATTATATTGTAATTGTAGGAAAAATGTCAGAGTTGTTACCGGCCGATCATGATTACACACATGAATTTGAGAATGGGATCCATTATGCAAGTGTGGAGTTAGCTGAGTTAGCTGCAAGAACAATCGCTCAGCAGTGTGGGTTCTTTATTGTTAGAGGATCATGGAAACCGAATACTGCTGGACAGAATCCTGTTACTGCCCTCTGTATGTATTGCGACAGAAGTAGTAGGATCGTTAAGTCTTATAAACCAGACCCTACGAAGGAGACGCGTGAGAATATTAGTTCGAAGGGTACTGGTTGCCAGTTTCAGATATGTATAAAGGAAGTATGGCAAAAGGATGGTCCAAACACATGGGTCATGGTGGGAGTGACAAGTCGTGAAACCGGAGCTAATAGAGGGTTTCACAACCATGAAAAGGTGTTGTATCCAGAACATCACCGACACAACAAACAGTTTAGTGAGGCTGAAAAAGAGAGGTTAAGATTAATGAGGAAGGCGGGGGTGAGACCAAATCAGCAGAAGACGACACTCAATACTGAAGGGGGTGTGCATCATGATATCAAACAGATGTACAACATAAATTCCAAGACAAGATTGGATGAGATGGGTGAAATGGATGCGATACAGTTTGCGCTTCACGGAGCTGAACATCGTGGGTACCATATCTGTTTGCAAAAGGACTCTAATAATGTGCTCACTAATCTGTTTTTTGCGCACCCGACGTCCATTCAGATGTTGCATGCATGGCCGTACGTCATCCTCATTGACTCGACCTACAAGACCAACAGGTACGGCTGGCCATGGGTTGAGATTATTGGGGTTACTCCAGTGAAGAAGAATTTCAACATTGCATGTGCAATTATTAAGCAGGAAACAAAGGAAACATATGAGTGGCTGCTGCGATGTATTAAAGGGTTGCTCGGTGATACGGTTCCGAATGTCATTGTGACAGACAAAGAAGGTGGTTTGCTTGCTTCTATTCCTGTGGTCTTCCCTCTCCCACATACTGTCCACCTACTATGTTTATGGCACGTCAACAACTGTGTGAAGCAAAAGTTTGAAGTGTTACTTGGTGGAATTGCAAAAAGAGAGGTAGCACATGCGGTATGGAAGAAATATTTCGACAAAGCTGCATGGAGTTGGACTCAGGAAGGTTTTCTTCAAAAGATTAATGAGTTTGAGAGGGTCTGGACAGTGAAGAACAAAAAAATGGTCGACTACGTGCGAGGTGAGTGGTTGCCTCATCAGACAATGTGGGCAATGTGCTACACGAACCATGTGTTTCATCTTGGTAACACGAGCTCGAATAGAGTTGAGTCATCTCACTCTTCATTCAAGACTTTCCTTGTGTCTGGTAGAGGAGCGATCGACACTTGTTTTGCGAAGAACCACAACTACATGGAACATCAGTTTCTGGAAGTGGTGAATGAACTGCACAAGTCACTGAACCGCAATCTGAGTAGGGCAATTGAGGCTCCGTGCACGTTTTTGAGGAGGGTCGTTAGTTCTGAGGCAATCAAACTGATGTTAGATGGGGCGGCGGAGTTGAAGGACAGTTGTGCGTGTCATTTTCAGATGACACATGGGCTCAAGTGTGCTTGCCAGATTGTTCAAGCTAAGGAAGAAGGACGTCAATTCTATGCTCAAGAGTTGCATGTATTTTGGCGGACTTTGGATTATAAAAACCCCCCACGTCAACAACAAGTCAGTGATGAAATTGAGCTTCAACGAGAACACTTTGTCCCATGGGAACCAGACGCCCGTGATGCCGAACGAGCAACTACAGTAGGAGCCTCTAACTCATCCTCCCCTAAATTTGCCTGTGACTGATGTCCAATATCTCGAGAGCGCTTATTCTCCTTATTCTTCCTTCGTGCTGATACATCAACAACCCTACCATTGAATCTATTCAACTCATCCCCACCCGCATGACCCGCATCATCCATATCTAATTATCTACAAATTTACAAAATATCATACTTAGATGCGCACTAATTAATTAATTTTCTATTAACTAATGTAATATTAACATCAATTGTTAATTAATCACAAATTAATTAAATTTCTATTAACTAATGTACTGAATATTAACATTAATTGTTAAATCAATTCTTAATTAATTAAAATTCCATTAACTAATCTAAGTAATTAAACATTCAAACGCCTATTACAAAAAAAAATATTTATAAACCAACTGAAATAAATATTAACACTAATTGCTAATTTCTACTAACCAATTAAGTATTTATTTATTTATTAATTAATTATCGTATTAAATTAAATTAAATACAAAAACTGGCCGGGCCGAAAGAAATTAAATTAAATTTCTATTAACTAATGTACTGAATATTAACATTAATTGTTAAATCAATTCTTAATTAATTAAAATTCCATTAACTAATCTAAGTAATTAAACATTCAAACGCCTATTACAAAAAAAAAACATTTATAAACCAACTGAAATAAATATTAACACTAATTGCTAATTTCTACTAACCAATTAAGTATTTATTTATTTATTAATTAATTATCGTATTAAATTAAATTAAATACAAAAACTGGCCGGGCCGAAAGAATTTTGCGGCCGGTGCGCCGCTGGGCCGAAAAAAATTTGCGGCCGGAGCGTCGGCCGGCCGAAAAAAATTTGCGGCCGCTGCGTCGCCGGGCCGAAAGAAATTTTCGGCCGGCCGTCGCACCGGCCGAAAATTTTTTTCGGCCGGCCGACGCTCCGGCCGCAAAATTTTTTCGGCCCGCCCTGTTTTTCGCCGGAAAACTGGAAAACTGCCCGGAAAAAATAAACTTACTTGTTTTCCGACGATTGAGGGCGACGGGAGGTTAGCCGACGATGGAAGAACGGTGCCGGCGACGGAGGCACTGGGCTCGTCAACAGAAGTTTTTGTTGGAATGAGTCAAATGTTCATGGGTATCCGAATTTATAGAATGAAAGGAAGGGAAGGGAGGGAAAATTCAAAATTTGAATTCAAATTATTATTTTTTTTTTTTTTGTTGGCGGCAAATAGCAATTTGCTTGGCGGCAAATAGCCGTTCACTTTAATATTTGTACTGTGGCAATGACAAGATGAATCTGGAGAAGGAAAACGACAAAAGGAGAGAAGCAAAGAAATCATCAAACCTTACGATACAGTACCAATGCATGCTAGGCTAGCAGCTACTGGGCCAAATTGAAAGGTGGCGTGGCGTGCTATGTTCCCCGCAAGTTTATTTTGCCTTTTGCTTCTTCTTTCACATTTTCTATTTTATCTTATTTTAATGTTGAATAAAAGTAGGGAACCGAAGCAAAGCAAAGCAAAGCAAGATTCTGGGGACGACCGGTCAAACATCAGTCAAAATTGATCACTGGGGTGAAAAAAGAATAACCTGCTGAAGCAGCCAACCCACACGTGCCCTTTTATTTATTTAGTATAAAAAAGTTACCAGGCAGCGCAACGGTAGAAAATTCAGAGAAAGCTTAGCTAGGTGGTGTGGGAGGCAGATAAGCTACCTATGGTTAGTTTGGATCACTTCCATCTAAATTAAGCAAATTTAACAAATGTTTAATTTATTTACGGCAATCGGATGGTAGAAAAATCATACCAAATCAAAAGACAAGTTATGAGAGCCTCTGCAAAAGATAACAGCCTCTCAATGAGCGTTTTGACGCTACTGTAACATTAATGGCTAACGATCAAATTAAAGAGAACTCCAACCTTTTACTTCAAGATACGTCCCATGCATGATACTCAAAAGATACGTCCCATGTGTGCTTATTGATAGACCGTCATTTGTACATATTTTGACCACCATTCTTGAACCGTTTGAGAGTCGATTCTCGTGTTTTAGGCTGATTTCACGCTAGGTTGTTCGTTTATGTCATATTTCAGGACTTGGAGTAGATATGGAGGCATGAGGTCGAAAAATGGAAAGTTGGAGCTAGAGGAGCTGTCAGGCAAAAAATACTCGGTCAGGCATTGAAATACCCGACCGGGTAAACGAGAAGGAAGGACCAGGAAAGACTTTGAAGGCCAATGGAGCAGAAGGGGCCCCGACCAGAAGGCTTAAATACCCGATCGGGTATTCTGAACCTCGATCGGGTATTTTTCCTTCCCCACTGCGCTGCGTTTCGAAATACCCAGCCGGTCACCTTAAATACCCGACCGGGTATTATGGCCGGGTATAGCGATCTGCCCCTTTTGAAGGGAAGAAAGCCTCTTTTGAGAAAGGATCCGATTTTTAGAGAAAGAAAGCAGAAAACCTAGAGAGAGAGAGACGAACAGAACTTCCAAGCGCCCTAAATCAATCTCCGACACCACTGGAGCTCGGTGGAAGCTTGGAGAAGTGTCGATTGATTACCAGAAGCAGATTTTCATCCTTCACAGAATGATTTCTGCATCTGAAGCATATTTCTCTTCTCTCTCTATGGAGTAAACTCTCTCACTCACCTGGGTATGAAGAACCCTAGATTTGTATGTTAGGTTTGGTTGTATGAACCCAAGTATGTTCACTATTTTGTACTGGATTTACTCCAGTAGTGAAGGTTTGGTACATTAGGGCCTTAGTCTGTTTACTCCGGTGGAGGTCAGTCGCCCGCTAGGGATTCAGATTGAGAGGGTCTGGAGACCTTTAGTCGAGACTTCAGACTGTCTAAGAACCTTCCCTAGTATAATTATCATTGAAACAGGACTGGTGAATTACAACTTGGCTTACCTGCAGTCTAGGGGGAACCATATCTGGGTGACCTCTCAAACTTGGAACACAACATTTACTGTTTTTGTTTGCTAGTTTAGTTGGAACTTCACTACAGTTGAACCGCTAAATAATAAGAATCTCACGGAGTAGGCATCACACCTAGGACCCGGGTTGACATTTAAACCTAAGCCTGCTATACTACGCATTAGTAGGTTGTTACACTTGGCCACTTTCTAGTGTGACAGTACAAGCGAATCAAGTTTTTGGCGTCGTTGCCGGGGACGGCTAGGTTGTTGAACAAACATTATTTCTGTTACTTAAGCATTTCTTTTCCGCATTGATTGTTTTGCTTTGTCCCACTTGTGCCTTCACGAGTTTGTTTGTTTGGATGTGTGCAGGTAGTGCATGACCCGTAGCCAGTAGGGAGAACTACTACTGTTTGATCCGAAGCTAGAACGCACTTGTCGCCAGCTTAGGAGACAACAACGAGCAAGACTGGCTACGAAGAAAGTGCATGTCGATGGCCATCTGAGCAACGACTCCAAGCAGGAGTACGAAATGGGTGACGAGCACAACAGGGTGAACTTTAACCTGGGGCAGAACCAACCCGTGGGGATGCCCATGCAGGTTCCCCCGGTGAATCAGGTTCTGGCCAATAATCCAGTTCCCCAAGCAGATGGTGCTCACCATCAACCACCCTCGCAGGGTCCTACTATGGAGTACTACTATAGTCAACGGATCGCTGACATCCGCCCCGTCATCCTGTATCCGCCCATTCCAACAAATAACTTCGAGATCAAGCCATGCTAGATTCAATTGATAACATCCTCCATCCAGCTTCATGGCCTCAAGGATGAGTAGGTGATGGTGCACCTTTGACGGTTCTTACAGCTTACCAATGTGTTTAAGCTGAATGGTGTACCAGATGATGCGATCCGTCTTCACCTCTTCCCTCACTCTCTGGCGGGGCATGCAAAGAGGTGGCTAGAGACCCAGCCACCATTGTCCATCACGTCCTGGGATGATCTGGCCGACAAGTTCGTGCATAAGTACTATCTTGCCTCGAAGACCTCTGAGATTCAGCGGGAGATCACTCATTTTCGCAAGGAGCCAGATGAGTCACTACGTGATGCCTGGGAACGGTACTCGGGATTCTTCTGGCAGTGTCACAATCTCGGCTTTAGTGATGCATTCACTATGGGGAACTTCTACAGTGCTCTATCTCCAGAGAGCCAGAGGGTGATCAAGTCTCTATACCCAGGAGGGGACATTCTCACTAAGACTCCACCTGAGCTGAATCAGATTATCAGTACTCTGGCTGCTACAGATCACTCTTGGGAGCAGAACACCCGAGGCAGGAACTCCCGAGATCGAGGTGATCATTACATGGTGACCGAGATGGTCCAGACATTAAAGCAGCCCAACAGTCTTATTCCTGGCAGAGGATTGGCCTGCCCTTTAGTTGCACAATGCTAGTGGTGTGAGAGCTCGAACCACTTGGTGGAAGATTGCCAGGCTATGCGGGAGTCTTCTACACCCCAAGAGAAGTTGGACTTCATCGCCAATGCTCGACGCCTTGATCCTTATAGTGGAACATATAATGAGGGGTGGTGCCAGCATCCCAATTTCTCCTGGAATGGCAACAACAGAAACACCACCAAGCTTCCCAGTTTCCCAGATAAAGCGGGTGGTTTTCAGTAAAGGAAACCTTTCCATGTCAGATAGGATTCATTTCCACAGTAGCAGCTCTACTAGCCCAGACTAGGGCAACCATTTCAGCAGCAACAACTACAGTTTGCCCAACCGGCAGCAGCTCCAGCACAGGATGACCAGATGTCAAAGCTGAAAACATGGTGCAGAACTTCGTGAGTGCCAGCACAGCGAATTTCGCCAGGCTGAACCAGTGCATCACCTCACTGGTGGCAAGCCAGAGGAACTAGGGTGCCATACTGCTAGATCTCCATAACCATATTAGAGGCATAGCTCGCCAGAACAATACCAGAGCACCGGGAACTCTACTTGCCACCACAATCTCAAATGCTCGCAAACCTCACCAACAGTTAGATGACATCACTACTCGAAGTGGCAAGATGACATCTGCTATCCCTGCTCCGGCCAGGCAGGAGGAATCATGATAGCCCGTTAGTTACACATGTTTTCACCCCTGTTCTTACACCGTTTGAGATGTGGTTTCTCGTGTTTTAGACCGATTTCACGCTAGGTTGTGCTTGTTTGTGATATTTCAGGTCCTGGCAAGTGAATGAAGGTTTAGGAGCGAGTTCGGGGTCGATTGGGCGAAGATCGGGCGCGAGACAAGTCGCAAAGGAGGTCACACGGGCTACCCTGATGTTCACATGGCCGTGCGAGAGGCCAGTCTGGCCGTGTGATATTCTGCGAGAGCAGACACGGGCAGAGCAGCAGATTGACACGGCCGTGCAAGTGGCCGGGTTGGCCGTGCCACATTCGCCGAGAGCAGACACGGGCAGAAGGAAGTCATACACGGCCGTGCCACTCTGGCCGTGCAAAGAGCCTGGAATTCGAACTAATTGGAACGCAGCGTTTTGACTCACACGGGCAACTGGGTAAGCCACATGGCCGTGCCGCCCTGGCCGTGTGAGTCGGGATTTTCTGCTTAAAATCCGATTTTCAGCCAAAGGAGAAGAGGAGAGCTGGGTTTTGGATCCCAAACACCCAAGGGACGAACCAAAGAGAGAGAGGGCGATTTGAGGGCATTCTTGGAGTGGAATTGGCGGATTTCTTCGCCTTGGAAGCTCGAGGAACAAGCCCGGACTTCAAGACTGATCATCTGAAGATTCTTACTGCAGTCTCTCTCTTCCCTATGGAGTAACTTCCCTTCACTTAGGTTTTGAGGAACCCTAGCTATGTTTGTTTGATTGGATGATTGTATGAGTACTCTGACTGGATAATCTTGAGTTCATATTCAATCTATGCATGTTTTCATGATTCAATTCTGCTTTAGTCGAGATTATTGATTCTGCTTTGATTCTATGAGAGGGAATACCTGATTAGGTCAATAGAGCACCATAGATTGATAGTAGTGGATCGATTGCTTTAGTCGAGGGTTGATTCACTGCTTTGTATCGATTGAGAACCCCTTTCGATAGAGGGAGTCTAGTTCAGAACGCCTTGATCAGTTGTTCTAGAGAAAGATACGTCCCTCTAGGCAATTGACTCAAGAGGGCCTTGTTCCTTTAGTCGAGACTCAAGGTCTAGTCAAGGATTCTCCGCATTGTGAATGAAAGTGAAACAGGTTAGAGATCATCAATCATTAATCTGGCTAGTGGCTAGGGGGAATCATACCTAAGTGAGTTCCCAACCTGTAATTAGATTAACTTTAACTGTAGTTTGCTAGAGTAGTTTTAGTTCTTTCATCTTGATATGGTTTGCTAAATAATAAACTGAAGCTGAGTAATAGTAACTCTAGAGACCCGTGGATTCGATATTTATCACTTGAGCCACTATACTGCAGTCCCTTTCATTGGTTACACTTGGCCATTGTTAGGTGTTGTGTCGTAGCGAGTCAAATCAACACCTGCTTCAGCACTTCCAGCTGACAAAGCAGAGGTGGGGATCGGGACAGAAGCATCTGCTCCCAAGCCATATCTAGTGGTTAAGGAGCATGTTCCCCAGTTTCCCTTCCCCACTTGACTTCACAAAGACAAGCTGGAGACTGAGTTTTCCAAATTCATGGCAATGTTGAAGCAGATCAACATCTGCTTGCCGTTCATGGAGGCACTGTCGAAGATGCCCAAGTACGCCAAATTCATGAAGGATCTCCTCTCAAACAAAAAGATACTTGGAGATCTCTCGACAGTGATGCTGAGCGAGGAGTGTTATGCCATCCTGCAGAACAAGCTG